AAAGCTCAGCTGGCATCCATGGCCTTCCCCGATCCAAACTCACCTGCCTCCTCAGACCATCCCCAGCCATTCAATGCCCCTGCCCTCCCGAGCCGGCTGTGCTCCCTGTGCCTGGGCCTGACCCTGCCTCTGCCAGGAAGGCTCCTCTGACGCCCCTTCTCCCATCAGTGTTCATTCAAGAGCCCAACCCAGAGAGTGTCGCTTCCTACTCACCTCGCCCAGCTTCAGGAGGCAGGTCCTCACTCCTGTGCGTGGCCCCCCGTAGTCAAATGGATCTGGTCAAATGAAGAGAGCAAGCACGTGTTCTCTCACTGAGTCCTAACAATACCCCTGGGAGGGGGACCACTGGCTCCATTTTGCAGATGAAGATACTGAGGTTCAGTGAGGCCAGGCACCCCAACAAAATCCTGTCCTCACAGAGAAAACTGTGGCAGGTTTCTTCCATCTGCCTCAGGCCTGCCCTGTGGGAAGTGGGAAGGGTGGGGAGAGCATGTTGGCCCCTGCAGACCACCTCATGTTAGTCCTGGATGTGGGTCCCCCAGACCAGGAGGCTCTCTGTATTCACAGATGGTCAGAGCCCTGGGTCCCTCTGCAGTTAGCACAACGATGGGTTTGGGGGGCTGCAGGTGGGAGTAGTGACGCCTCTTCCTCCCTCTGTCACAGTGGACAGAGCGGAATGGCAGCCTCGGCCCCTGCCCCACCCCGTGCCCCCACTCCCACCCCACCTTTTCCTGTCTCTTAATCTGAGTCGACACCGACTTTGACCTCCGGTTTTTCATTTTACCTTCTCCTTCTCAGTGTCTCTACCAGCCCCAGGGACTGTCTCTGTCTCTCCTGCTCTGTCTCTTGCTCTTGGTCTCTCTCCCACCTCTGAATGTGCCCCTGGGTCTCCCTTCTCTCTGCAGCTTTCCTTTTCCAATAAACCTTTCTCTCTCCCTCCCTCTCACCGTCTCTCCCCTGAGCCTCTTCATGTCTGTTTCTCTGCCTCTTCAATATGGCTGCCCCCATTTTTTTTCTTTCTCTCTCCCATCTGTCATTTTCTCTGCCCCTGTATCTGTCTTTCTGTCTCTGTCTCTGTGTGTCCCACTGTGTCTCTCCTCCTCTGTCCCTATCTCTGGCACTCTCTGTGTCTGTTTCTCTCGGGCTCTGACGCTGGGGAGAACAGTGTCTCCTCCACGTCCCCATCCCTGGCCCAAGAGCAGACCTGGCTCCTAAACCTGCTCCCATGAAGCGGGTGGGGGACCCTCGGGCACCCTGCCAGCGCCCCCTCCATCGAGGTGACTGTGCTGACAGATGAGATAGGGATCAGACTCAGCTCTGTCCGGGCCTGAACCAGGGCACAGCCGGGCTACGCGGGGGCGGCTGGAGCCTGCAAACAGCGGTGTGCTCACACGTCTGGGTTTGTGTGCGGGTCTCCCTGTTGGGGTGGTCCAGGTAACTGTCTGGGGGTATTTGTGAGCGTCTGGGCCTGTTTACATTTGTCGGCGAGCGTCTGTGTATGCGTGCCTTTGTGTGGTGCTGTCTGGGTGTGAGCGCACTCACCTGTGGGTCCCTCCATCCATGTGTGTGTCTGAGGGCATGCGCATGCATCGCTGGGAGTGACTGCAGTCGTGGTGGTCTGTGTGGCTGTCCGTAGGCCAGGCCCTGTGCTTGCATTCTCCCGTGTAGTCACCAACAAACACAGACTCATTTACCCCATTCAACAGGTGGCAACGCTGAGGTTCTCGACCCCTTGGCTGTATGTGTGACTGTGACACATGTCTGCCCGAGGTTGAGAGCCCAGGGTCTGGTGGCAGACAAACCTGGTTTCACATCCTGACTCCTCCACCACTACCTACATGACCCCAGGCAAGTTGGCTGATCTTGCTAAGTCTCCTGAATTCATTTAGTAAAAATGTAATGGTCAAAAATAGATGAAACTAAGCAATGGGGCAAGAAGTCAGAATGAGAGCTAGCCGAGGAGGGGCTGACGGCGAGGGGACCCCTGGGAGCCCCTGGGTGCTGAGAATGGCCTCTGTCTTGAGTTGGCTGGTAGCTGCATGAGTGTGTTCATCTGGAAAATATTAACCAACCTGTTCCTTTCGGAGATGTGCCCATTATTTGTCAGTATAGGTTTCCCCAAAATGTATTGGGTTCCTATTATCTGCCAGACATTAAGGGGCAGTGACAGCAATGATGGTGTGTGTGCGTGTGTGTGTGTGTGTGTGTGTGTGTGTGGTGTGTGTGTGTGTGGTGTGTGTGTGTGTGTGTGTGT